GGTGTGCTTATATTAAGACTTCTTGCGTATAATTCAAGTGATTTAGTTGTCACTGAATTAATACAACAATTGTGGCAATTTTATAAACGTGTAGGAAGTGGTGGTGGCGGACCTGGTTCGACGACTGGATCGGCTGTTTCATCGGCAGTTAATCAGCCATCATCGAGAGGTGGTCCAGGCGGTGGAAGACAGGTGAGTGCACGCCTGTTCGACTCGGGTGCTGGTCGTGATGATTTATAAATCAGTGGGCATACTTTGTATTTTGTATAGCTTTTTCTTTGATTTTCTGTTCGTTTTATTTTTATTCTTTCGTTTTTGTGACGCGTATGCATGATATTGAGTTTCATGGAAGATAGAAATGATTAATAAAAAGAAAAGAGATATTTTGGAAAACAATTTATATATATATATATAAATATATGTGGCTTTTTATTGTTCAAACTTCAATATATTTAATATTTCAATGATTGATTGTAGAGATCATTTTGACATTGAACGAGAAAGGAAAAAGAAAACAATATTTATAACTTAAAAAAGAATCTTGTCATAATTACATGGTTATATTCATATTTTCTATATAAATAAATATTTCGCAACCAGATGTATATTGTATGTGTCCTATAATTTTTTTTCTTCACTATAATTCATCTTTTTCTAGTTCTTGGGTTAGTCATATTCTACATGTCATTTTATCCATCTGTATTACGTATATTACAGTTCTGTATTTTGTCAAAATCCTTCTTAATGATTATACATGTCTTTCGTAAATCAATCAAAGTAACACTAAAAAAGAAAAATAGTCCGAATCAATTCTATCATCAGTCCGTCAATACTCCATATTGTCAGAAGACGAACAAATCTAAATGTATATTTTTTTTACCTCGATGTGGTTAATTACTAATGCCTATCAGCAATCCATGAAAAAGATATATATATATAAATATATACATATAAACATTGTATTGTTATATTCTCATGTCTTTTTACTATGAGAAACGTCGTCAATGACTGTCGTATTGATAAACTTCCATCTTCTTTATCTCTCACTCTCTTTCTCAATGTCAAGCAGATGTTATTCTCATTGTTTCTTTCCCTTCATTGGTATAAGATACTAAACGATATATACGTGTTTTCCATTAGAAAGTGATTTGTTACGCATGTCGTTCTTGTCATTTTCTCCATCGTCTTCTAAAATGATAGCATTTCCATGAGTCAATTAACGATAGAAGATATCTTATTCGTAGATCATGTTCTCTTTTCTTTCTGGATGGGCGAACACTAAATGACGGTTTCTATTCGATAATTTTCTCTTAAGTTTTATTATCTATAACCTTTATTATTATCATCTCATTGTAGAGAACCAATTTATCGGATACACAAACTAGTTTTTTTGGTATTGGTAGTACAGCTGGCGGACAATCAACAAATACTCCGATGTATTATTTTTCATTACATGATGATCATGGTCGACTTTAATAAATTTTATTTTAATTTTCTTTTTCGTTTTCTTTTTAAAATTTGTTGTTGTTTTCTTTTGTGATCTTGTATGCGTCTTTATATGTACAGATAGAACATGAAAACTAGTAATATTAAATCCATATGTTTGATTGTATGCTCTTTCCAGAGTTCTCTAATTGTCTTTAGTAGAATTGGAAGATAAAACAACATATTTTTTTCCTGTTGTGCGTCAACCATGACATTTCAAGATCTATCTATGGATCCACTCAAATAAACGAGACATAATAATAAGTATACTGGATTTATCTGTATTTTCTTTAAGAGTTCTTATTCATCTTCTATACACTTGTTTGTAAATACCAATCAATTGATGAAATTGAGAATAGTAAAGATGTTCTAAAGAAAGGAAATATAAGATGAATGGATTTTTCGATGCGAATATGAAGATAAAACAATATTATGCAAATCGCTATGGATCTGCAAAAGATTCGATAAAATAGATTGGTGTTATTTTCATTTTCTTCGTTTTTTGTCATTGATAATAACAAAAGAATGAAAATAATAATTAATAATATTTGCTCATAATTCTTATCGACTATAATATCAAAAGAGTATTTAACGTATGAAGTTTCCATTGTGGAATAGATGATAGAGTGCATTTATTTAAATTTTTATTAATCAATTATATAAATATTACTGAATTATAACATAATATGTTTACTATGAAACGATATTGAACACGGCAAGTAACACATAAAAGGTCAAATTCTATTTAACCATCTGTCAATAATGAAAATTCCTTATGTATGCAACAAGAAAGAATATAAAATGAAGATGCCGATCATGTCGAGGGAATTTTGTTTTCTGGTATATAAACTTTTATTCTTCAATCAATCTTACGGGGGAACATTCTCCATTGTTGGATGCCGATAAAGCTCATATTCAGGTCATAAGTAGAATTTGATGAAAATAGTCACAGCCTCAACGGATTCGCATTCATGTCTTACTCAGTCAAAGTTATGATCGTTTTATTGAAATTTTTAATTTCAAGGTTAGACGTTTATGCAAATCTGAATCATGAAATTTTCATCAGAAACTATTTCATAGACATGTCTCAGAATGAGTAGAAAATTCTACAAATTTTAGTTCAAATAAATGTATTTTTCTTGAGTCATTGAATATTTACGATCAGTTGAATCTATTACTGTATCTGTAAAATATAATTATTCATTAGATACATCAATATCTTGCGTAAAATATGTTCATTTGAACTAAAGGTTTTAAAATATTCTAGTAGTCTTAAGACTTGCCTGTAAAAGAAAGTTTCAATTGAAAATTTCATAGGTCAGATTGTCATGAACATCTGTCCCACATGCTGAAACCTTAAATAAAACGATAATAATTTTGGTTGGATAAGACATAAATCTGAAAAGTTCATTAAACTGCGACGAGTCTCACCAACGTCTAATTATGAGCCAAATTTGAACTGAATCGACCTCCAACATCTGATCCTCTTTCGTTACACTAAACTTACTAAAATACTTACTATTGACGTTTGTATCGCCTTATATTTATCGTGTATTTTCATCTATAACTCATAGAAGCTATAAATTGCTTACGTCTACTCTATATTATTTGTTTCAAAAAGTTGATCAATATATAGGCAAACTCGCCAGAGAAATATGAATTAACATATTCGGTAAGTAATAACAATTGTAAGTTAGAAAAGAATAATCAACAGTGACTTTTCGATTGTAAGACCCTTTTTTCAAATGCAAATAAGCCATTTTAATTAAAAGAATAATTATTTCCTTGAAAAAAAAACGCTTCTTATTCATAAGAGACACTTCGCAATTAATTTAGTTGATTGATCTTTAAATATGCTATGAGTACTCATAAATTAGACACAGGTTTTTTTTTTTTTCTTTTTACAAAAATTATTTAATCTTATACATGTTTTTTTTTTCTTGTATTTATAGATATCGAATAATAAATCAATTTAATATTAATTGACAGATGAGTGTAATAATATATACAAGTTCTAAAAAAAATATTTGTATACATTTCCCATATGTTGTTGATTGAATTCATAATTGATTTCAATCCAGCTTCGACATATTATTAATTATTAACAATTACAGTCAGTTGCTTTTTTTTCTTTCTAGTTATATCTACTTGACATAATTGAAATATAATATCCAGTATTGATCCTTACTTTTCCTCTTGTGTTTCTTTATTTATTAAATTATAAGAAAAAAATTCTCGTCGATTATATTAAACGAAAGAATGGGTACGTGACATGTTATTTTGCAATCTTCTTAATGGAAAATAATCTTTATTTCTGGTGTGAATATACATATCTTATAATATAAATGCCTGCAGTGCATTTAATCTTTTGTTAGCAAATTTGTGCATTTGATAGGAAAATGTTGTTGACTGCCTTCTTCTATTTCTACTTCTGCTTTTCCTCTTTGTTTTTTTCCATAATACTAACTTCTATAATTATCGCATCGTTTAGCATTCGGATTGCCATATGAGACATGCGCCAATGCGCTCATGTCATCCTATCCAATAATAACAGTAATAGTTAGTCGTAACCTTCATCTATTCAGGCGAAACGTGATTGAAACCAATTGTTGTTACTAGTTGCTTTGATTTAGTTAGTACTACTTATTATATGCAATAATGTTGTTTACTTGTTCTCTTCTCGATCTTGTTTTTTATCGACAAAAGGTTCTTAGTTAGGTTTATTATTCTTCGATTCTAAGAAGAGAAACAAAAATTTCTCAACAAAAGCCATAATTAGAATAGTTTAGCATATTAAGCCTTTTACACGTAAATTTATTTTAAAAAATTCAAAAAAAATACTCCTTTTAGTCAAGAAAAAATAACATACTTTTCTTATTAGTACAACTATATTACATCGTATATGCGACGCGATGCTTATGATAAACTATTTTTTTCGATGTAAATTGAGAATGAGATTATTAGCTTATTATATAGAAAAGAAATCAGTCAGTGGTCCGATGACGGAAATGACATATGCAGAACATGCTCGCATACACATACATACTTTAGTGTTAGTTAGTAAAAGAAAAAAAAGGTGATCATTCAAAAGTGAACAAAAGAAAGAAAAACACAGGTGAGAACGACAGGGCGCTTTTTACGACTAGAAAAAATTATCATTCTCATTCCTGCTTTTCACAATAACAATAAAAGACATGCCAACTTTATTTTCCAGTTGATCGCAAGTTACACTAATGAATGCTGTACGATCAGCAGGTGGAGGTGGCAATGGTAATAATTACAAATTTGAAAATGGTAAGCATCTCGTTTATTGATTTTTATTGTTTTAACAAGCACTTCCTAAACAATCATCTTCATCATGATCATTCGTTTGATTTCTCACGAGATTTTTTTCTTCCGTTTTTCTTTTTTTACGTTGATCACAAACACGCTTACATTCATAATACATGAATCAGGCTTTTCTTTATTCTTAAATATATACATTAATACAAATAATAATCGTGAAAACCAAAGTCATGTTGCAAGCCTTCGAATCATCAATTCAAACATTGAATAAAGCTCGTCGTTTAAATTTGAGTATAAAAAAACGTGCAAGTAAACAAATAAAAAAACCAATATATATATATTTATGTTTTATGTATCTTATTAATAAATAACAAAGTGAATGTTTATTTATTTTTTGTTTTCTATTATTGATAGAGAATGCTACAACAGTACAACCAGTAAGAAGACCAACTTGTTCAATAGCAGAACTTATGCGAAAAACCAACTTCTCCAAAGACGAAATTCGACATCTTTATCGAAGATTTAAACAAGTATGGTTGATATCTTCATTTTTAATCATTATCTTTTGAATAAATAATTGTAATAGGACTGTCCATCGGGTGAAGTAAGCAAAGCTCATTTTTCATCAGTCTTTTCTACATTATTTCCCGGTGGCGGTAAGTTTTTTTTCTCTTCTTTTTCTTTATACATTCATGAATGCAATCGATATTCAATTACAGAATGTTTTCGCTATGCAGCATTTGTTTTTCGAAATATTGATCGATCAAATTTCGGTTATATTCGATTTGAAGATCTTATTGTAACATTATCAACACTTATTCATGGTTCAGTCGAAGATCGTCTAGGTTGGATATTTGATTTATATGATATAAATAAAGATGGAATGTTGACAAAAATGGTTAAATAGAATTTTTTTTTTTTTGTATTAATACTTTTTATTTTATTTCTAATTTAGGAATTAAGTCAAATAGTGGCATCAATTTTTCAATTAATTATTCCTGTTTGTAAACTTAATTTTACAGCAGTTTCTAATGCTATTGAAGAACGAACAGATCAATTATTTCAAGTATATTAATTATTTTAATATTTTAAATTATTTACTTTGGTTTTTTGTTTTTCATCAAGAATTGGGATACACATAGAAATGGTTTTGTTAATAAAGAAGATTTTCTTCGATATTGTTTACAGGTTTGTTCTTACTTATTTATTATAACAAATAAATAAGAACAAAAATAAAAATAAAAATAAAAACTACTTCAGTTGAATAATCTATAATATATCAAGAGATCTAGAAAATAGAATAAAGAATAGTATCATAGGTAGGAGAGCAAAATAATTGTTTTTTTAGATAATATGATAGTAAATGAAAATTTCTATATGAATTAACGCAATGTTCCTTTCTTGAGCGCTAATGTCTTCCGTTTTCTTTTCTTTTTTGTTAGATGCTTTTATTATTAACGAGAATGTCTGCGTTGATCATGCATTAAACATTCTCTTGAGTTTTTGTAATCTTCGGAGAAATAGATTTTTTTTTTTTTTTTTATATCCGACGAGCAAATCGTTATAACCTTTCTTAGGTCATGTATGTATGGGCACATCTCAGTATAGCTACAATAGAAAAATAAATGATTGATAATACATTCATATTTTTCATAATGATACTTGTATTGAATATATATATGACTAAGTAGATAATATGTACGAGTGTACAGTAAAGTCTCTCATTAAAGCAAAACAAAAACAAAAAAGAACACATGAATTAGACATTCTAGAGTCAAGAACATTCTTTCTTGTACTTGGTTTCTATTCAAGAAAACATCGGAATTTATGAGTGTACGTTTTTCTTTTGATCATGGATAAAACAACATTGAACGTATTCTTGTCAAGAATAGAATCGCAGTATTATTGACATTTTGGATTGTTTGTTAATAGAAAGGTAATTTAAATAAAATAAATCATTGTACTCGTTGACAAAATGTATAAATGTCAAATGTGAACACATACCTTAGTAAATAATAAAAAGACTATTGTATATACTGAGTGTCGTCGTAAATGTCAAATATTTAGTAAGACTGGTGTCTAATTTTCACTATAAGAAAAAGATTCACTCGATGTAATGAGTCTTGTGTGATATGAAATTATAATTTTCTTTAATCAAAATTCCAATGCATTACGGAAATAACATCTTAATTCATCAATTACAGAAAAAAAGACATGAAAATTTAAGAAGTTGACAAATATTTGTTTGTAGTTTACAAAAAAAAAATACAGTTTACTTTGTGCACAAGCATATTTTAGTGAAAGTGAAGTAAACAATGTTTTATGACATATGAAATTTTATATTAATAATCAACATAAATATCTTAACTATTTTCTGTCTAGTCTGAGTAGCATTAAAGTTTTACATATTAATAGTGGAATTTCATAGAATGTTAAATATCATATAATAATTTATATTTTATCTCTTTTCAATAACAAAAAAAAAGCAGCAATAAAACGATTAATCTAATAAAAAGAAAAATCCAAATTTTTTCCGATTGAAAAACAATAATAAAAATTCATTTACTCATATTCTTAAGATTTTTGTTTTTCTAAACAAATAATCAAAAGATATACAGTCTATTGGTAATCATAGTGATACTTTTTAGTGACCTTTATCCCTATGATACATTTTTCATGATACGATGAGAAACAATAAAACATTGCATATACATAACTATGTTGTGGCTGCAAAATTGTCATTTTTGCTTATTTAAATCGATCAATATTAGATTTTATGCCATCCCAATGAACTGTTAAAGCCTTAAAATATCGTAGATTAAGTAACAATAGCGAAGATTTTCCATAATAAATGATAGACAACACTTGAATCATCAATTTCATAAAAATATTCCGATGTCAAAAGCACTTTACCATCAACTGAATTAATATAGGTCAAACTGTGCTTATTATCTTTCTTTTTCTGTATAATTTATTCTATTTATCTTTAATTTTAGGATGAGATGATTCAACGTTCAATCGAGATGCTTCAAACGAACATGTCTTTGTAACTGTTAAAATTTTCTGTTTCTATTCTTCTTATTTTCAAAAAAAAAAAAACAAACGCGCACACAAAAAAATATTTGTATACACACGAGTGACAATACACGTGGTGTTCACAATCAAAAAAAATTAAAAGATAGCGAAAAAAAAGGCGAGGCTCTGTTTGGTACGAGATCGTATTAAAAAAAGAAAAGATTTTACTTATATATCCCTGAGAGAGAGACATAGATATAGATACACAAAAAAACAATACACATACATATTAAGTGCATAGTTTATAAGTCAATACTTTGCATAAAAAGCATAGAATTTCAGCCAATGTTCTAGATAATAATCAATATTTATATATGTATATATTAAATATGTAACTCCTTATTTCTTTTATCGAAAAAAAAACACAACAAATATCGTGAATTTGCCAAACATCTGCCTGTGTTGTAGAGTCGTCGATTGATTAATCGGTCAAGAAGAAGAAACGAAAAAGCAAATAACTATTAAAATTTCGAAGAATAATGCAAAGTAACAGGGAAAAAGACGAAAGAACAGAAAAAAGAGAAAAAAAATGGCACAACTCTCTGATCAATAGATAGATTTTTAAAAAAAAGACAAGGAAAAAAATTGACGCGGATAAAGAGAGAAATAGAATATGTCACTGTTTTTCAAAAAAAAAAAACAAAGAAAAGAACGAAATGTTTTCGTTACAAATATGATTATTATTTCTTTTCTTAATTTTTCTTTTCTCATACAAAACACTGTTATTCAAGGGTGACTGAGAAAACGGAGGAAAAAATTTGGATGTGCTTGTTTGAAACAACAAATAGAAAGAAAAAAAGACTGTACAAATATCTCTATTAACATGCAACTAAGCATCGAAAAAGAGAAATAGAGAATAATGTCGGACCTGAGTGATAAACAAAATGAACACATATATATAGATATATATATATATGTGTGTAATAATATATTCGTGTATTGTTTGAAATTAATTATTCGATTGTAAACCATTGAGCATTTCGCCAAGTAAACAACCATCAAGAAGTTTACCGTCATGTTTACGATCGATTAATTGTAATAATTTTTTTAAATCATTTCCAACAAGACGTACATCGGGTAATTTAAGTAAAATACAAGCAAATTTTTCTTGTTCATTTGTTGGTATTTGTTGTTGTTGGCTTGAAGATGTTTTTGTTGGATTGGATGTTGATGATGAATTATTATGATCAGTTGTATATTCACCTAAAGCATTTGTAATTTTTTCTTGAACGTCTTCAATTAGACTCGATTCAGTAACACCTTGAACATCTATATAAAAATAAACAACACATATATTAGATTTAAAACTATTTAATTAATTTAAATTGTTATTTCTATAAATTGAAAATTTAGAGTTTTTTTTTTGTTTTTAATTTTATCAATTGTATTCGAGAAATAGCCATTCGAATGATTTTATTTTACATGTAAGTTTGCATGAGTCTTAATTATAGATGTCAAGAGCAAAAGAAAAACATTAGTGAGATTGAAGCTGTACAAAACTATGTAGTAATAGTATAGATTTCATTGAAGCATATTTTTAAAAAAGTAGAAAAACAAAAATCAACAAAATAAATTCATCACTACTATAGCAATGTTTTAATTCAGCTTTTCATTTCAATTTTACATGTGTTTAGTCTCAGTTTATGAGGAAACGTCCGCAAGTGTGACTCGTCTATCAAGCTGATGCTTTGTCAATAAGTAGTTTTGGACAAGAATAATAGAGGCGTGTACGGAATTCCTCCCAATGAACTATTCTTCTCAAGTTTCTACAATTTTAGAAGTTCTTGAATATTGTCTATAAGACTTTCGCCAATTGGCGACAGTCTTTATTAGTAAAATTTGATCCATCTAAATTTTATATCTCTGGCGTGGTATTTGTGAAAAAATCGAATTAGAAAATTGCAAACTAAAACTTTGCCCATCTATAAGACTCAAAAACCTTTCAAGCTCGTGAAAGTTTCGGTCTAAATAGATTTATTCTTTTTGACATATTAAATATGCAAAAACAATCATGTGTTACAGGAAGAAGTAAGAAAGAACAGAGTTTTTAAAATTCAATATCTCAACAAGAACACATTCCTTTAAGCTGAAGTTTTCAGAATATTGTAAGATCCATAAGATGGACTTGTGGGTTGGAACCTCGTACTTCAATCATTTCACCAATACGTCACCAACTATAAAAAATTCAATAGAATTGTAATAACTTGAGAAGGACAATGCATGAGGACGAACCAAGGAGAAAAAAGTAAGACTCCCGTACTCCGGAGAACAGATGCAGTACGATGAGTACATACTTCATCTCTACTTCGACTGTATTCCACTCGCACTCCGGAAGACGATAGTTTCGCTTTTTCCTCCATAGGACGAACCGTTCCAAACTTCAACTAGTTTTATCCAGACCCGACTTATTGGCAAAACATATCAGTTCAATTAATGAGTCACATTTGACAGTTTCTCTCATCAGACTATCAATCATTAATAAAAACTACGAAATATATTTTCTCTCCAAACTATAAAAAAAAGTGATCTTTTTTTTTTTTATATTTCAAACTTGACAAATTTTATTTCAAGATTTATTATTACTAATTTTTAAATACTAACCTGGATCAAAGAGCACCAAATATTTGAGTGCAAGATATTCTGGATACTAAACAAAAAGAAAAAGAAAATTAATATCAAAATGAAATTTATTGAAAAAAGATACATACTTGCCACTGTAATTGACGAAAATCATTAACACATTGTAAATATCTTTCAGCTAATTTTTTAACAGCTGGATTTTGAATTAAATTTATATTTAATAATTGACCATTTGCCTAGAATATAATCAACAAAATAATCAATGAAAAATTCATTAATCAAAATAAGACAAATGAAAAACTTACACTAACAATACAGTTTACGCAAGTTTCTTTTGGTTGTTGACACTGTTTCCATATAAGATCAATAATCAGGATTTCAATCCATGCTGCTTTTAATAATTTTATCTGATTATCAATCTATAATAATGTTACATATGTACATATATAATCAATTTTTTGCATAATAAAAATGAATACTTACTTGAATATCTTTAAAATACAATGATTGTCGAGCCTATATTTTATAAAGAAAATATTATCAAAAAATAAAGAAAATCCAATTATATAGTATTTTTCAACATACCCAATCAACCATAAGAAAACATAATTTATCTAAAAGTGAACATACAACTAATATATCACCATCATCACGTGTTAAATCAATATGAATTTGTTGAATATCTTCAATATAACGAACTTCAGTACACTACAAACAAACAACAAAAATAAAGAAATAATCTTAATTTAAAAAAAAATCTTTATACTCGATAAGCTTGATCAGATTCAATAAGTTTTGTTAATATTTCTGGTATATTATGTGTTTCGTTCATATCATAACTCGATGCTAAATATTGATGATTATAAAAATAAATTGATGATGTTCCTGTATTATTATCTGTATTCATTGGATCATGAGGAGCAATTGATTGTTGTTGCATTGTTAATGTACTTAATATCGATGATGTATTTGATGTTGAATTATTTGTATTTGTTCCTCCTCCTGTTGTTGTTGTTGTTGTGGTTGTTGTCGTTGTTGGTGATGATATTTGATAATCAAGTAATTTTGATGATATTTGTCCAACAGGTGATGAACTCGAATTTGATGAACCTGAGGGTGGATTACTGTTATTTGTTGATGCATTTGTTGTTGATACACCAGTTGGTAATGATGATGTTGATGGCAAAAGTAATGACGGTGGTGAATGTCCATATGTTGCTGGTGGATTTTTATAATATGTATTAAATGGATTTAACTGAAATGGTGGCATACGTGAATTATTTGTAACATTTGGATTTGTATTAAAAAAATCTGGATAAACATTAAATGATGTTGATGCTGATGATGATGTTGATGTTGATGAAGATTTTTGTTGCTGTTGTTGTTGTTGTTGTTGTTGTTGTTGATGCGATGACTGATAATGATGTGAATGATGCGTTGAAGATGGATGATGAGGATGAGGATTTTGATGATGTACATGTGATGGATGACCAACATTTGTTGGATTTTGTAAACTCGAATACATATGTTGAAATGGATGAAGATTTGGTTGTTCAGGTTCAGATTTAACTTGCATACTATTACCATTTGTTACACCAGTTATATCTAATGGTGTATGAACAGTATCAATACCATTACCGTTTGGCATTATATTTTGTTGTGCTTTAACCATACTAACAAAATGTTGTCGCATGATTTGTTGACGTAATGCTCGACTACGACGATATAATGGACCAAATTTATTTCTTCCACCTCGTACACGATTTTCTCGAACAGCTTCTAATTTCATACCAACTTGTAAACATTTTTTAAAACGACAAAAAGCACAACGTTTTCGTTGAGTTTTATCTATTTGACATTGTTGTTTGTCAATACATTGGTAATTTTTTTTATTTTGTACTGTTCGTTTAAAGAATCCTAATTAAATAACAAAACAAAAATAAAAATTTCGAGTTTTATTTTTTGATTTTATTTCTTTTAGAAAATTTAAATATTAACCTTTGCATGATTCACATGTCAAGAGACCATAATGAAAGCCACTGACTTTGTCACCACAGACAGGACATAAATCATTAAAACCAAATTTAACATCGAGTCCGACGTCCGGTGATGGAACGTCCAGGACACCTGGACCTAAGCATAAAAAATTCATTTTTATGATTCAGTTTTTTTCTTTTTATTTCTAATGCAAATATATAAACAGAATTTCATTTTTTCCTTTCTTTTTTTTTTTGTCGGTTCAGGATGATTATGAAAAGCGATCATTTTTCTAAACTAATATGCACAAACGTACACATACACGTGAGAATTTCGACATTTGATCACTTGAGATTTATCATACTTATTCTCCTATTTTTTTCATTATAAACTTCTGTTTTGCTATTTCTTTTTCTTTAATTCCATGATGAAAAATAATCAAACTAGTTAATTGAACAACATATGTACATATACATATACACACGCACACGTCATTATTATTTTTTGTACACTAGCGATCATAATAAATCGATTTTCTTTTTTTTTGCGACGCGCGCGGGCGCGTTTGTGCATACTCATTCAAAAAATAAGATAGATGAGGTACAAAAAGTAAACGTATATATAAATATATCGAGTGAGTCAAAAGTTGCGTAAACTACCAAAGTCAACAGCTGTGCGTACATATGAATGAATAAAAATCTCTACGAAAAAAAAAGAAATAAAAGAAAAACGACTTTGTTATAAATATGACGACGATAGTGGCGGCGACACGAGAGTTCATATACACATACATCGAGTCCGTACGTGGTCGCTTTCGGCGTGTAGTTTCTTTTTTGACCTTTTTTTCTTCTTGTTCTGTGCACTCGCCGCCACCATCACATCACCAACATTACTATTACTACAACAACTACAACTACTTCCCTACATATCCTCGTACTCATATAAGTCGATGATGATGAGGAATAGAGAAAGACGCAACATCGTTACTATTTCTATGCTTTTTGCTTGTACATGAATACGTGTGCGTTCTTTCTCTTAACTCTACAAAGACGTAACACGAACGTGTACATTATGAACATCCCTTTTCTCTCTCTCTCTCTCTCTCCAAATAGTCGTTCGATGATGATGATGATGATTGAAATTCGAGCGAATTGTGCATGGTGGCCTTGCGCAACATCGTTAATCGTTTGGACAAACAAAGCACCGTGCACTTCTCGATGTAGGTGTGTGTGTGTGTCGCGCGCGGGCGCTCGCTCGCATTCATTAACCATTTCGCATTTAATCGAGTCGAGCCAAATTTCAGTCCGGACTCAAGCACGGTTAATAACAAGGCCATATACTTAGTTAAATGTGGGTGTGATTGCAAGGACATTCTGCTCATCAGCACCAATGATAGGACAAAGCGTATGTGAACATCTGATGATAATGATCATGTAAAATGACGCATTTCGTTTTTTTTTCTATCACATATGTGAAAAAAAAATCAAAATAATTGAGCATTTGAGATACAAACTAAATAAGAAAAGAATAAGTTCGAAAGCTTACCCATCCGGGGAGCGAACTGTGAAGCGATGATCTTTGGTTGTTGTTGTTAGGGTTAAATGTAATGGTTGAAAATCAATGTGTACTCGCTTTCTTTTTTCTTTCTTGCTGTCTCTCTCTCTCTTTCTCGTATTCGACTTTTCTTGTTCTCAGTTAGAAGTTGATATCGAAGGATAAATGCTGCGTAACATTTGTGCGTTATGCTCAGCGCATCCAATTTTTCCTCGGTGATGGTGTGTTGTTGATGCTACTCGTCCAACGACGCCAGCGTAGCATATGTATTGTAGTATGTATATGTATCGCGGTGATGGTAGTAGTCGATGTTGTCAGTAGTAGAGTGCGCTGTGCGAACTATTTTGCTTATTCCTCTTTCTTTCTTCTTTGCGCCACTGCCGCCGCCATTATCGCTCGTTCGTTGAATCTTTTTCTCTCGTTTCTTTCTTTCTTTTCCTTTTTCTTTTTCTTTCATTTTCTTTTTCTTTGTGTGTAATGTATGTGCAATGACGCCCATGAACCGATGACCATGTACATATCACAGCAGCAACAGCAGTGCAGATGAGAAAAAGAGAGAGAGAGAGAGGGAAAGAAAGAACACAATATGCGCAACTACCACCATTGTTTTACCGCCTTACTTTACTGTTTCGCTTTCTTTTTTCTTAGCTCTTTTTTCTCCTATACGTAAACACATATGTGTTCATTGCAAGACGACGGCGTCATCGAAAGAAAGAGATGAGCTGCTTGTACATAGGCAAGTTAGCAAGCGCGCGTCTTGCATCAACGTCATCGTTACAAAAAAAAGCAATTATTGTTCGTTTGGAAGAGCAAGAACTATTTCCTTTTTTTTTTGTCTTTATATATATATATTTATGTACAATGATGTGGTAGTTACATTACTACCTTGTAATTTACTGCTATTTAGTTTTGAACAAATTGAATTTTTACGTTATTATTATTTTTTTCTCTGTCCCTTTTTCTTCATGTACATTAAGCATATGCACAAAAAGAAATTGGAGTGAAATTGGTGCTAATCTATGAATGGTCAAGATTGACATTGTCGTGTAATATTTGCTTTAATGTATGACTTCTCTTCTCTCGTTTTTTTATTTTTCTTTCATGACAACAATGACCGAAGAGATCTAGGTCATTCATTTGTTCTTTGTCGTAGTCTGTCTGTCTGTCTGTCTGTCTGACCATCGACTGGACAATGTAGTCTGTCGCCGACATGATAGGAAGACAAAAAAATTTGATGTGAATGCGTTCAATCGGTCAGTATAATACATAGATGGCCAGACGACTGTTCGTTCACTATGTGCGTAACCTTATATATGAAGGGCATGCACAGATGGTCAGACATACTCAAGAGAATAGTTAAGTGAAACACTTGAGACAGACATACATGCATATTGGTAGATGGGTGGGAGGAGATTAATCGATACAAACTTATTCAACACACCCACACACATCTCTCAATAGAAGAACAGACAACAATAGATATATGTCGGCATTGAACATCTTAAAGATGATCTTCATTCATAGAGTTTACATAATCGCACACATTCATTAATTTAACAAGCTATTGAAGCTTACCATTTTTATCGTTAGATTTTTTATGTTTGGTTGTTTCTGATGTATTTTGATCATCAATACTTAATCGTGTAGAATCGTCATCATCATCATCATCATCATCGTCATCATCATTCTCATTTTCTTCTCTATTTTCCTCAGTTTGATTATCATTATCGTCAACATCAAGAAGATCATCAAGAGATTGAGGTGTTTTCATAATAACATTATTATCATTAGTTGTGGGTGTGTTTCTATCATCGATATGTTCTTCAAATTCATCCTTTGATTCTGGTGAATAACGTTTTGTTGTTGAATTTGATCGTAAATTATTTGTTTGATGACTTTCATATTTACTCATGTTGTTAAAATGATCATTTCAATTGCAAATTTCAATTCTAAAATAAAGATAGGAAACAAAAAGCAATAGACTTTTTATAATTTTTGTTTTTATTTCTTATTTAATAATTTCTCAATATGTTTTTTGCTTTCTGATAAACGTGTAATGATATGTAGTTGGTGTCCTTTATTCATAAATCAGCTCTGTACAAGTTATGCTTCATTAATTTTCATTTATCATAAAAAAAAAAGAAGCAAGAACCAAAAGACGGCACATTCATCTAATGACTATGCATTTTTTCTCTATCTAATTGAACTTACATGGAATATCAACAGAAATATTGTAAAAGAAGGCATTTTATTTGTTTAATATACATTGTCTACAATCATAATTTGTCTAATTTTATCCATGCATCAAATTGAATGAACATGCTCTGAAAGAAATAAAGGAATTTTAAAGAAAAAAAATGAATTAATGTTTTTATGGTCAAGGTCAGTTATATACATATATAAGTGTAAGATCGACAATGATAAGTGTCCTTGACAAAGAAAATTCATTTTAATAATTAGGATCAATAGAAGTGTTACATTATGAAAAGAAATTATTTTAAGATAGTTTTAAATATAAATGAAAATCATGGGTATATGAATTATACATATATCTATATAAATTCATTTGACATTCGAATAAAAATATAAATAAACAAAAAAAAAACGCAATATAAGAATGGTTTTTATTGATTGGTTTTGAAGATTTTAGCCAATAGCATTTAATGGAAACGTCTGTTGCTCGTAATTTTAATAAATAATTAGTAAAAAATAATTATTGAAAAATATAAATTGATTATGTTAAGTTTTTATGAAAATAAATATGAGTCATCCTCATGAGGGTTCACAGCAATCTCGCGTAATCATTATGGCTACCGAACGCGCGTAGTCTTTAGTTTCCATACTACCAATATGGTATCCATCGAGGGTTTAGATGCTAGCTGATTAATACCAATTAAGAGTCCATTATATACTAAGTGATAATGATGTGTTCAAATAGTTTAGAATCATACTTTGGAAATGATGATTTGGATTATTTTGTTAGCATAGAAACACATCTAAATTACAGAAAATACATAATCATGTTGATTTTTTTACCAATATTTCTTTTTTGATGGAATCAGCCGAATACTCAATGCATCATAATGGTATACAATGAAATTAGTTCTAATGTGTAGGACATTATGTTTTCGGAAAACATAACTAATTCAGGAACATTATAATAACAGTTCAATTGATGTAATATTAACCGATAGAGTGCATGTGAGAAGGTACATTAACTTACAGAAGCAATACATAACAAATCAATATTCGATTTATTTTATGCGAATACCTATAACGATAGAAATTGTTAAAGCTACTATCGAATAAGTAAAAGAAATAAATTGTAAATATTTGCCGTCTAAAAGTTATATGTTTTAAAGAATTAACCTTTTTTTTTACCAATATTGAGTGTTTATTTTCAATGAAAACATTGCTGGAAACTGGCTGTTTATCAATTGAATTGGTTGCAAATTAATAAAGTGCAGTCATGTATTTCAAATGTAACATTTACCATTTTACCAGATATATTCACACAAGAGTAAGTCTCAAATGTTCAAATAATTGATTTCATTCTTTTCAGCAGAATACTCTGATCGGTTTTCTATCAGCAAAAAAAATATTATTCATTTTATACTATGATATGGAATCATGGACAAATGATTCAGTTTGAATAAAAAGTTTGTAGAAAGTCAGTCATTAATCCAAGGATATTTTTTTTTTGGTGGAATAGATTGAATTTATAACATTTCCTATGTAATTGAAACCGAACCAAATCCATCAATAGAACGTTTGTTATATCAGTAGTAGTGAGAATGATCGTAAAACATAGTTTGTTATTGATTTCTATTTGAAAATAAATGAAAATATCAGAGAGTTTTAGAAATCATATCATTTATTAACAATTCCTTACTTTTGGTAACTTGCAAAATGTTCAGGAGGAATCGATAACCATCATGAGTAACAAAGAGAGATATTTAAAGTCTTTTTTTGCATCCCAATATCAATTTACTGGCGTTGCCCATTATTCATTGATATTTTTTCTATATACTTGTGTCGTAATTTAATACAACGAACAAATAAAAACATTATTAAACGATTCCTTCACAAAACATCAAATAATCTTATCAGTAGGCATGAAATTCGAAAGGCATGTCTCATATTCGTCTTATCTAGACAGCTATACAAAGAAAAAGTATGAATTATCAATATATTGGCAATTACTCTTTGCAAATAGTTGCTTATATGAAAAAGTTACATGATACCTTGAAGAGAGATTATCAGCCAAGTATCATATGTCCTGCAGGTTAGATTGAATAAAAATATACTGAAGATTAAGGTTCATGAAACTAATTGTATTGGCAAGTCTTCTAATATATTAACCTTTAAAAGCCGAAGGGATACTTTTTGATAATGAGAGAAATTTGATAATAAAAAATAAAGAATATGGGCCTTCAGTATGTTCATACTATAGCTAAAAAGAAATATATTGTTCTTCTTCTAGAATTATTGAATATTTCTTAGAAGGAATATTCGACTTTATAGAAGAATCGAATGAAAGCAAAGTTGATCTGAAATTCATGAGGTCTACTTACATGTAAAAATTTCAGATCGAAAGTTCGTTCTTTTTATTCTTTTATATCCTATCTAAGGAACACATTTTTTCATATACCATATCGTGTTAGTAGATCACATGGAAATTTCAAGGCTGATTTCATAAGACAGTTAGATATAAAACTCATCAATATCAATCACAAAATAAAAACTGCACCTTGCGTCTATGAATAATCGAAGTTATCAAAACACAAGTTTACATTCACAAAAATTTGTTAATTCTAATTAATTAATTATCTCATTTACAATCCAGTTAAGAGAATTTTGTTTTTCAATCTATAGTCTGTCATACTACCTTAACCTGAAAAACTATTCGTTTTTGAATATGGGATTTTGTTATATTTTTTATATCAATTATCATTATGTTCCTTGAGAGGAACATTCAGCTTTTAAGAATTAATGCTTCTTCTTTCCTAAAAAAACCTAGAATTAACATAAAAAAACACAAGAACAATGTGAATATGGAATAGAAAGAACAAGAAGTGTAATGTTAGTACGAGAACATTGAGTATTTAGTAATAGGGAAAGGTTTGAAAATCTTTTTGAATACTTTTTATTGACAAAGTCGATCTAAAATGAAATAAAGGAAAAATGAATGACATTGATATATTGCTCTGGAAATCATTCACATTGAAAGTATGATTAAGTACTATTATATTATAGTTTATAACGTGTGTTTGTCAGGTCAATGATGCTTTGGAAAAGTTTCAACGACTTTTTGTGATGCAATTTAGGTCATAAATATAAGCAAAGATAATTAATCTTACATCGATCTATGGAATACTTATTTAAAAGCCAACATAAGGAGTGCGTCAGAAAAAATGTTTCTCTAACGAGAAAAAGTCTCCAAATGAATAATTGCTTTTAATCTGTAACTATATTCAGTTGATAGGTCCTAGTGAGGTCGTAAATACCCTAGAGTGTTTCGATCTGCTGAATCTTTGTTGCTGAAATTTCAAATGTTTAGCAAATTTTCACTGTAGAACTCAGTTTTCAACCGAAATCACACTTTTAAAATTTGATCTGAAACTTTACTCACATAATGTCACTGATTCGAATAACTTATCGAAAGACTAAAGGCGCGTTATCATGACTATTGTAAAAAAAAATATTGATATTTTGAAAAATTTGTATCTCAGAGACACTTGATGAAAAGATTCTGAAATTTTTTCTACAAGCTGCTCTAATCGGTGACTTTATCTAGACAAAGTTTCAGGTTAAAATTCAAAAGGATAATTTTATTTGAAAACTAAACTCTCTCACTAGACCGTACTGATTGAATATAGTCCCAACTAAGAAGAAATTTATCACTTTATAACCTTCTCTCATAAAGTATTTTCTCTATATCGTTGTTAAGTTTCATCACCATGCCTTAATGTTTTTTTCTTTTAATAAGACTCACGATTCAATTTTCTACAAGAACGTATCACAAGTTTTACTACACAATGTTAAGTAGAAATATTAGATAGAATCCCACTACGAGGCTTTAGCATGCACAATTTTCAAAATTGTTTTTTTTCGAACGATTGAGCATCTTTTTTTTACTTGCTTTACACAAATATAACAACATGTCAAATTTTGCTTGCTTTGCGGAAGGAACCCGAATAAAAAGCATTATTTAAATTCTGGCATTTCAGTCTGATGCACCATTCATTTCTCTTGAAATTGAAATAAAGTTGAGTTCAATTGACTCATTTTGTTTTCTTCAATTAATGCAGATTTTTCTGAAAGTTTCAAAATTATTGATTTAAAACTGTTATTTTTTTTTGTGAGGCTTAGAATAAGAAGCAATTCATTTACATGGCAGTTATTGGTATAACAATTTTACTACTATGATTACAAGAAAGAGCACTTCGATTAAAGTCTGTTTAATTATCTAGAATAATAAATAATAAGTTCTTATTGTTGGCTTATGATTTCTGACTTGAAATTTTGTTTCTCTTCCGTTTCAGAATTTGAATTTAACTTTGCACAATGTTTCAACTTATTTTATTATTGTTTTCTGGTAATCTTTCATCAATGAATTCTCAGAGAAGACATCGTTATTTCATATAATGCATTCCTGATTCAAGTAAATCTTTGTTGGATAATTTACTGGCATCCAATTTCAGAAATTATCTGTACTTTATTTTTTGTTAGTTGAAAATATGAATTTTATGATTATTTTTCGAAATGCATTGACCGCTTTTATGCTTCATCTTTACGTAAAAATGATAAGATTTTCTGTAGTATGTACAATTATCTGATTTAAAGGAATAACAAATTATCTTTTTTTAAATTAGCAATAGTTATTAGAAATAGTAAGTTTATTCTATGAACTCTCAATTGAAAATATTCATAAGGATTAACTTATTTTGGACTGCTCGTTTGTTTTTCATTACTGGAAGAATTTTGTGAAGTTGTAAATATGAATAAAAAAAAGTATAATTTGTATTTTTTTTTATATGATAAAATTGATGATTTCATCTTATTCAGTAGTCGACATTGATTTGAACAAATTATTGGCTATCGCAAGTATCAAGTAATTTTATGCTGAATTCATGGATAGATCTGATATTGAATAAAATATTATTATTAGTCATTTGAAACATTTAATGATAGTATTAAAAATACATTTCATTCTGAAGAACAGAATTTTGCTCTGGTAATATTAAATTAGATTAATCGAATGAATGCTTAATGTTATTTCAATATAACTAGATATATGATAATGCATCTTTCGACAAATTGCATTAAATCTTTATTTATTTACTCGAAGCGTTACAATTTGATTGCTTCGAGTTCTAAATAGAATTCTATTTTGTTTTAAATTTGATTAAATTCATTGAATGATTTATGAATATGCTGAAATTCTAGATGTCTTGTGGTCGTAATCGTCGTCGACCAAAAGTCTTTTCAACATTTAATTCACGATTGAATAATCAACATGAATCATCAGTAGTCAATATGCAATCAACAGAAAAACATCATAAATTATCTCACAGGAGAAAAAGTAATCATGTAGGAAATTTGTCAAAACAAACTTCACGGGAAAATACGATTGATTTTGATCGATTTCGAGTAAAAATATTTTTTGTTTTTGTTTTTAAATTCATTTATGTTTGCTTTTTAAATTTTTTTTTATAATTTTGTGAAGATCTTAGATGATCATGGTAATGATGTTACACCACGACTTATTACTGATTATATTCGAATTAACATAAAAAGTCGTCGTGAAGATGATAAGTCAACAACAGAAATAGCAAATAAACGAGTAATGGAAAATCAAGAATCGTCTGTTTCTGATAAAAGTATTTTGGGTATGACAAATGTAACAACGTCGACTTCACGTATGGTTCATACTGGAACATTATTTTCTGCTGGGTGAATATTTTTTTCTTTTTTTTTGTTCAAATTATCAGTTTTGATGTTATCAATTTGAAATTTAGAGACAAAACGACACTAGATATAGGTACAAGAATTATATTAGAAAGTGAATATTTACTTAATCAAACTCAAAATGACCGAACATCTCATACTGATAATGAAAATGAAGAATATCAAGCAAAGTTTTTACCTGGTAAATATAAAAGCATGTCATGTATTAAATATATAACAGATTAAATGTAATATAGGACTTGGTCTTCAATGGGTGGATTCATTGAGAGATAATGTTTTATTAAGTGAAACTGAAACTATTTTTATTTTGGATTTGACTAGTCATATTGTCTGGCAAGAAGATAGTGATGGATACAATCAAATAAACGAGAAAAATAAGATTTACATGGATGTAAGATACATTTTGTTTTTCTTTCTAATAAGTTTCAAGTCTTCAAATTTATTTGATGTTAATTACCTACATACATTATATATATAATAGTCGCAAGAAGTTCCACTACCGAGTAAAAAGGACATAGACTTCAATCCTTTTGCCTGATATACTAACTAGAAATAGAGCTCAGCAAAATTTGATCGCAAGTAACAACCTGAAGTCGATAGGCATTAACGAAAACTTGATTAGAGCACGACACTTGTTCGAGAAAGTTTAAGGCAAATGATTAAAACTAGCTGAAGATGTGCGTCATTGTTCGATGATTCCCATCAACTAAGCCCTTTTGACATGAAACTTTATTAGTAATAGAAATAGCACTGAGCTGTCAAGTCAAAGATATAATGTCATGAGATTTGTTTTCTATGTTGACTTTTTAGCTTCTCCACATGAAAGACAATGAACTTTTGATTAATCCTTGTGATCAGTGTTCAACGATTTGCATTTGTGATCTAACTATGAGACTAAAGGATTAAAGTTTAGGTACTTTTTACCTAGTTTACTGTTAAGTATTTTCCATAATTCGTGTGATGATTTTTTTGGACTATAATGAGGAAAAGTAAAAGCTTAGAATTGGAAGTCAAAAATGAAAGTTTTAAAACATTATTCTATAGAATTTTCTTTTTAGTAGTTTAATGCATAATTTAGATAAATTTACTTTTGATTATAGTTATGTAAAGATCGACAAGGCAATGATTTGTACATTGAACGTGGTATGCAAACATTTAATGATTTACCTAAACATGAACAAATTATTACTGATCCTGTATTGACACGAGTATGTATTGTTTGAATGTATTCTGTATTTGATTTTCATACATTTTTAGTCGCAACAATCATGGTGTAATACATGGGATCTACATGATTCCGCAATCGAAGCTAATCAATATGAAGGCAAAAGTAATGTTTATAAAAATTTTATGTAAATGCATATCATTTTTTATAAGTCTATCGTCAACATGTGATACATAAAAATAGAAATCTGAATGATAATAAGGTTAAACATAACGAATATCAATACAGTAATGTAGAAGGAAAAATGTTTTCCGGTCAATCATCAAAAGTATTTTCATCACACAGTACATCAGTTAGATATATAGACTATTTTGTGAATATCATATTATGATTTTAAGGTTCATCTACATTTTTTTCGCAAGAATCTCTAGTAAAGATGACTTCTTCAAAAGACAATTGCTTTCAATTGAATAATAACAATAAAAATAAAGTATATCAATCAAATTAAATATAAAAATTTAACTTTTTTTAAAATCTTTTTTTAAAAGTTGCCTGATATTGATATCGATGCATTTATTATGGAACGTATTCTTAATTTGAGTACATATCATGCAAAACAAGCCGTTTATCGAGGCATCAATACGAATCTTAATATTAATCGAGACAGTATGTAATTCTTAATAGTTTGTTTGTAAAAATCAATATTAGATAGTCGAAATTTGTTAGTGAAAGATAATAATAATGAATATCTTAATAAAAATAATTTATCATTGATCAAAAATACAAATCTTAATCTTGAACGTTTATGGCAATATAATTGTTATCTAACACATAATCGAAATGTTTCCTGTTTATGTTGGAATGAACAAAATCATGTGAGACAAAATTCAAAATGACAGATAAAATAAAGTTCTTCGTATTTTAGGATTTATTAGCTGTAGGTTATGGTAAATTTCAATACAATGATGATAAAGAAGGTTAAATTTACATTTTTGATCATGTTCTATCCTTCTATTTTATATTTTTTCTAATAGGTCTCGTTTGTTGTTGGAGTGCAAAAAATCCGGAAGTATATATTTACTTGTCTCTTTATTAGAAAATGTTTCCTATTTAAGTTTCCCGAACGTTATTATCAAACAGATGCCGGTGTAACATCGTTGTCATTTTCACTCAAACGTCCAAATTTATTAGCTGTAAAAAGATTGTAGAAAAGTTCTGTTTTAATAACTATCTTCATTAGTAGGTTGGTTTATTCAATGGTAATATATGTGTGTTTGATCTTAATCAAAACAATACATCTCCAATCGTCGATACAAAGTATAGATGAAAGAAAAAAGCAAAAATATAAAGTTAAAAAGAAAATAACGTAAACTCGATTATTTTTCAGTGAATATGATAAAAAACATACAAGTCCTGTTTGGCAAATAGCATGGTACGAACGAGATCGTTCATCTGAGATAAATAACATTGAAACACTAATATCAATTTCATCTGATGGTCGTATTACACAATGGATTCTTCGAAAAGAATTTGAAGCAACTGGTAAATCATAGTTATAGTAATAGACCAAAGTCTCATACTTCTTCCTGTCTCGACTATTATTATATGCTGGATGTCTGAAAATAGTTTAGAAGCACGAGATCATCTCGACTGCTTAAATACAACGAGAATCATAAAATATAGGACTAATTCTTGATATTTTAGCAATATAAGAAGAGTCAAGCGTATGCTCCTGTTTTTAATTAAACGATCAGATAATTTAACCGAAGAAGGCTGTCTCTGAGTCCTCTGCGCTATCACAATGATTATTCGGATAGTATTTTGATTTAATGAAAAGTTCCTTTATAAAACTTTAAAAGACCAGCAGATAGTTTTCTCCATCGTAATGAGAAAGTCGCTACAATGGTACGAAAGGTTGATGAACCTCGATGAAATTAACACAGCAGATAGCCGGAACAAATCATTAAGTAATGAAGAATGGACTAACCCATAATATTCTTCTTTTTTAACAGTTACGAAGTTTAAAATATATATGGGTACGATCCATTATAATTCGCGTTCCATTTAAACGACCGAGTTACGCTTGTGTCTGAGATCTACGTTCTTAGTGGAGTATGCGCAAAGAAATTTTCCAATCTAGAACATGTATAGTAGTACGATCGTGATACGCCGAAGTAGAAAACTTCTATCTACTTTATATCGAATTTCCTCTCTTCAGAAAATGAGTTTAATGAAAAAAAAAATGATACTTAACTTAATGTTCTATATGACGAAAAATTAACGTATTTTTTTGATCGACAAGTTTCTGTATTGATTAGAAAACATTGTATCTTTACTTAATAAAAAAAATATAAAATATTTAGATATTATGCGTTTAAAGCCTTATCAATCATCACAAACGGCATGTCAAATATTAAAAACAAATGATGAAACAAATAGTAATGAATATTTTTCAAATTTTGTTGGCGGTCTTTGTTTTGATATTCGTCTGAACGATAAAACTATGTTAGTTGTCATAATATTAGATTATTTGAATAAATACTATCATTTTTTTTAAAGTTATTTATGTGGTACTGATGAAGGACCTATTCATCGATGTTCAACGATATATAATGAAAAATATTTAGAATCTTACATAGGTCATACAGCTCCTGTTTATAAAGTTCATTGGTCACCATTTGCTGAAAATATATTTTTAAGTGCTAGTGCAGATTGGACAGTTCGATTATGGATGATTGGATATAATCGATCGTCTATGATATTCTCATCATCAAATTCAAAAATCTTTTTCGATGCTATTTGGTCACCTAAATCGTCAACTATGTTTTGTTGTGTTAGTGAAAATACAATTGAAATATGGGACTTATCCAAGAGCACGTACAACATTTCTTTCTTTTGTTTTGTTTTTCCTATTTGTAAATAATTGATATGAATTCCAGACTTGATCCAATTTGCATTGCTAATAGTACAAATCAGCGTACATTAACATCGATTGCTTATGCTACAGATTCTGACGTAAGTTCATAGAAATAAAAATAGACATAGATCATTGTTTTTCTTTTTCGCACAGTGTGTGTTAGTTGGAACAAGTGATGGTGCAGTTTGGATTTATCATTTAGAAAATTTCTCTTCATCTGCTAATGTAAGAATATGAAATGAAAGTCTGTTGAATCTATCGGTATTTATATTAATGTTTCATAGGCAAATGATCTGATTACAATCGTTCAACAGAGTCTACTTAGTCAACTCGATTCTCTTGAAAAAACCGATATACATCGAGAAGCTTCTCTCACATCGACTCAATCTAATTTGATAGGCAATGATTAATATTAAATTAGTTGTGCTTTCAAATAGAACCTTTTCATTATTGCAGAAAAGATTTTATTAACAAGAGAAAAAGAAGCGTCTTGTTATTTCTAATATTTTAGATTGATCAAAAACCAACCGACCGAACGATATTGAAAATAATAAAATAGTTTATTTCAGTTGATAAAATTCTACTATACAAGAGGTTAGAAATTTCGTTTATTCATTCGAGACATAAAAGCACTATTATGCGAAATGATTAGTTTCTTAAAACATATCATGTATTCAGATCTTGCACAAGTGGCCCAAGGTCGGCGGTATAATGATGTGTATATGAAAATATCTTACAGAGAGACTAGGAAATTTCAAAATTATTTTACTCATTTTGCTGGCTAATAACAAGTAATTTTCAATTAGTATCAGAGAGAGAGGTACAACTCTCATGTTTCTGAGGTCTGTGCATGCTTACTTATAAAAAAGCATTATTACTGGTATTGAGTATAATGCTCATTGTAATTTTTTTTATCCATTTTTCGATGAAACAAGTAATGATGGTAAAAATCAATGCTAAATGATACATTAAAGAACATCAATAGCTTGGAAACATATATAGTAAAATGAATACATGCAAGAAAGATATCGAAAAGCTATTTAGAGTAGGGTGGGGTAATTGCAGACAAAAAAGCGTTCTTCTCATTGGTATCTATTATAACTGAATCAGTTTTAGGAATTTTTTTTTTTTTTTTTTGACGAATAGCTGATTGTTCCTACGGAAAAAATTTTCGAAAAACTGTGGTAGGCAACGGTATTAAAACCTTGGTTTTGGTCGGTACTCTCACATGCCGGGAGTCAGACCATCTATACGTTCATGCGAAACCGCGGTTTCGAAGAAACGCATGAATAGTCTGACTACCGTTATATTAAAAACCCACTGCAAAATGCAGTTTTTCCCGGCACACTAGAGTGAACCAACTCTGGTATGCCTATCCTAACCTGTAACTTGAAGATTTTAAGTATGGTGTCCTTCTAGGAGCAGTGAAGGGAACTCTCGAGTATCATTTTCACAAAGTACCTTTGTAGAGTCAGATGAATTATCTCTGTAATGATCGAAAAATTTGACAGACAAAGTGGGGCACGACCTCTTAATTGTCCTTACGCATTACTTCACACTTCGATATGTGCCATGGTTTTTCACAGAAACGTCGCGGTTTTCTGAATTGCAGTTCTGTAAGTGACGAACGCGGTTTTTGAAACCGTGTCTACTCGCGGTGTAGCACATCATGATATGGATACATGAAAGCGCGGTGTCTGAAACCGTTACTAACCACGATATAGAAACCTGCAATTTCACCACAGAAAATCGCGGTCATTTTGGTTACCCGGTAGTGGGTTGAAAGAAGCACAATGAACTTTATTTTTGAATTTTCGTGGCTTGCTTTTAAAATAAATCGAGTCTTCTACCATTTGGATTCTCTTGAAACAATCTGCATTAACAGTCTTTCATTTCTATTAATTTATCAAATGACGAATACTGTTTTTTTTGTGATTTCACTACAATCACTCCTCAACAAAAACAGATTAAAAAATAAATAAAAGGTGCAGTATTTTTTATCAGTCAATTTGTGAAATTTTTACTACGACAATTTGCAGATGAATTAAAAACTTTTCTAATGTGTTAGATCAAGTGTCTTCTAGTATATCAGCTTAAAATGAAAGTGATAATTAACAGATGTGCTTCAAATTGATAGAGACTTTTTTCAAACAAATGAAAAGTCACCGCGGTTGATAAAACCGGTAATAACCGCTATATCTGAAACTGCGGTTATGAGTGCACACACCATGGTTTTTTGTGAACGCGGTGCAAAAACCACAGTTTACGGCGGTTATCCAAATGATACCGCGATTTTTCTAAAAACATTTTTCTTTGGGTTAGCTATACCACTACATCTAAAAATTATCAACAACGGACTATGCAAAATCGTTCAATTACTTTTTTTTATAGTATCTCCTACAAGTTGTCTGCAATTACCACATGGGAGGTAATTGCAGATTCTCAGCCATTTTAAATGGGATCACTANAAACGACATATCAAATAAATAAATCATATTTTTTTTGAAAGATGGGACATCAATCTATATTGACATACATCTATCTTAATTTGAATAATTCTGATTGAAAAGGGCTTTTTATTATGGAAGGTTAATAACCAGCCTACCTTTTATATGAATTTTTAGATAGAAAATAATTGTTTATTTCAAGGAAAAAATAATTCCAAAGTATGATTTGCTACAGAATCAATTTTCATTAATTCAATAAACGAACAATTGATATTCATATTATAATTCATCTAAATTATTGAACAATACATTTGAATAGTTGCGAAGAAAATAAAATCTTATCAAAAAATGAAAGTCAATATTTTAAAATAAATTTTCTGAAAATATTCTTCAAATTTTTACAAATGTTTATTTATAATTTTATTGTAGAAATTGATAATAGAATAATTGATATGTGCGCCAGAGTTAAAGTGAGATGGGTGTAATCTTAATAATTCGACAACGGCAACAGCCAACGACTTGCAGCTTTCAGCAATCGAAAGAAAAGAATTTCGAACATTTTTTTGTCTGATGCAATAGAAGAGAAAATTATTTAAAAACCCATCATGCATTAAAATAGTGTTCCATTTCGATATAATTTTGATTTTGACATGTTCTTCAAATTTCTAGTTCAAGGCACGATTCAAGTAGTTATTTTCTTATATATCAATGTTAAGCAAACGAAATTGCATACCTTATTCAGTTAAATCCTATAAAATTCTGTTTGCTTTTAGCAAATTTTCTGACTTTTTTCAAATTTTCCTTGAAAAATAACATCGTTTTCATGCATCTTTTTCAATATTTTATCAAGAGAATTAATTTCAAAATAACTTTGTTGTATATAGTATTAAACAAAAAAGACTCAAAATTCTTCTCTTTCAGTTGCTGAAAACCGCAGATCGCTAGTTATTGTCGTTGTCGAATTATTGGAATTTTAGCCAGTCCTTCTTAATTCAGGCGCGCACATTACTTAAATATCCTCAGGCCAATCATTTCGACCGCCTGAAACAATACTTTAAACTGCCGAAAACCGTGTAAAATGATTGTTGTTTTTGGAACATTTCCCATCAGCTAGAATTACGAACCATTTTTCATCGGAATATAAACGGTACCACTTAGACTTGTTTCAGACAAAAAACTGATGCATAACATTAGAACTGTATTTTCATCGCATACTATCGTATTTACACCATTTCTTGCCGTATACGACTTATTTTCATCACGCAAATTACATCCTAGATGGCATCCTGTTTATACTTTCTATGATTATACAAAATATTTCATTACATAAATAACATTACTGTGTACGGATTTATTATTATAAGCTTCATTCTAATGAGATGTATGAAAAAGAGGATGCACACAGACATGATAATCATATCTACTGTATGTGCAAGTACCATGAAATCTTTTTTTTAGAACAAGTACTTCACTAATAAATAAAAACTACAATTTCAATGATATATTTTTTAACAAATAATTCACTACATTCATTTTCCGTCGTTTGTCAATGTTTACGAACTATTGCTTCGATATGCGATGAGCAACATCATAAGAACTTGGACAAACTTCATACTAGGCATCTATATCACAAAATAATGGGCTCTATCATCTATGGAACTTACCTATGGCAAAAAATTGTTGCACGAGAAATATGCAAAGATGAATTCATGTACTCGATACATCCATATAAATGTCATGCTAATCATCGTATGACAAAGCACAGAGACATTTTTCTACAACATATGTCGTATGATTGAATAGATTTCGACAAAATCTATCTATCAATGATTAAATCAGCTGAAAAAAATAATTGAATCCTGATATTAACAAAAAAAAAAAACAAAATAAACAAAACTTTAAAAAAAGTTTAAAGCATTGTTTCATCTCAGCAAAAACACTTTCGTTAAACATTAGAAATTGTCCCAACGAGAAATGGTAGATAAGATCGTTAAGACTTATCTACTAAACATTATGAGAAAATATGTAATGGTGTTTATGAGATACTTTTTTGCGGTTCCATGTTAAAGCCGGTTGTTGGACACAATGGTCGTTCTGCTGTGACGTAAATGATGATCGTAATAGCTTGCAGTTTTTCATCGTTTTCGAGTTATTTACGGATCATTCTACTCGACCTGGCTCATTTTCAATTAACATCATTACATTGTCACAAACTTCAATGGAAATCATTGTTTCATATTCTTCTTTTATCTTCCGTCGTTTTTTTAGATATTGTTAAACATGTAAAGATTTTTTTCTGTTTTAATCACAGTAATTATGTATTTCTCTGTTCTTATCAAATATATAAAAAAAAAAAAACAAAAGAATATGTTATGAACATAGGAAAAAAAATACAATTTATCGATTAATGATAAGAAAAACAAACAAATATAACTTATTTTCAGAAATAATCTAGAAAAATCATGTTTATATAACAGATCCAATATAAAAAAAAATAAAATGAAACAAAAATATCACAAAAAAAAATCAAGTAAAACGACTTGAACATTCATTCTTATGTTGATTTTCAAGACGAAAGACTGTCATTTGCATACCACATGTTGGACAAGTTGTTGTTTCACTGTTAGTTCTCATTAGATGAATAGCCATATTTTTATGTGTTGTTCGTTGAAATAAATCTTCTTTTATTTTAGCTTCAGTTTTAGCACGTTGTTTACTTTTTTCAATTAATGCTTTACTGGCATCACTATGATGCATTAAACAAGCATTTGTATGAATTTCAAGTATATCATTTGGTATAAGTCGATCACATATTGGACAATGTTCACTATCATTTACTGGTAATGATGGAAGAATAGAATCAATTTTAAATGATCTAATATTCTTTTTAGGTGATTGTTTTTTCTTTGAAATAAATTCATCAATCTTTCTTTGATTATTGCTCATTTCATTTACACGAATTGCTATATGTATAAATTTTTAAGTTAATTTTTAAATTAAAGAAAAGAAAAGAAAAAGAAAAATTCTTTTTTGTTTTTCAACATACTTGCTGCTCGTTTTGGTCGACTATTACTCAATAGTTCAATTTCATTTTCTTGTTCGAGTATAGATGCTTCGTTTCGACGACGTTTTCGAGGTTTTTTAACTTTTAACTTCATATCGTCATCTGTTAGTTCATTTTCTTCATCTAGTGTAACTTGATGAGAACCAGATAATAATTTTAGTTCATTATCACCTTGTTGTGTTTCATAATACATAATTATCAAAGAATAAATCTCTAAAAATCGTACAAAATAATTAAACTGTAGAAAAGAAAAAAACAACCGTTCTACAAATGTGAAACAAAAAATGGAAAATTTGTTGTATATTTCAAAAAAACAAAATTAAACCTATCTAACTTAACTATTGTAAAGATTAACTGTATATAATCATGATATGTTATTGTATAATGATATTTTGAATAATCAGTATTTGATAAATGTTTATATTCAATTGATGAAGTATTGAAATCGATTGTTATTAAAGATACTATTTTCTGTCATTGCAATTATAAGTAATAATAAGGAAACACAAAAAGAAGGTAATGCATTGTTTTTTAACCTGTCAGTCAGTTAGACAGGTAACTAAATTAAAACGTAAAAATTAACGAATCGTGTGCACCATCGTCCATTTTTCAAAAGAATCACTTCCTGAATGATGGCGCTAGTTACTGATTAAACTAGCATTAATTTAGAAGACCGGAGTTTCAATTTACATTAGTTTCATAGCATCACATTTGCATAGGTTTGTATTATTCAAATCTAATAACTCAATGGAAATCTTTATTTTCGCGATGATAATACAAGTCTTCAGAAGAATTTGAGTTTTTCTATTATATGGGTCTGTCATGTGTAAAAATCATATTCAATTTTGATTCACGATGACTCTTTTGAAATCAATGAACTCTATTTATAATTGACTGGTTGGTCACGATCATGCATCAAATCTAAAGGAATATCTTGAATATTATTGACTTAAAAAAATATGTAAACTTATTGAAAATTTTTCCTTTTTTTGACTAGTTACTATTAGAACCGTATTCACAAAGAATTATTAATTATGGTTTATCTTTCCTCTAATTTATTGTCATTTATTTTCTTATCTTGTATCTTTGTTCAGCATGTGAATTATCCTTTCATTTTTGACTTATTCACCATTCATACATAAACGAATAACCAACTCTTTTAATAATAATTCTATCTTTTGATTCGGATACAATTGAAAAATTTTGCTTTTTGTACTGATTGAATTCTTCAATTCTGTTTTTGATTTACTAACAGCTCAAACAGGGAAGTCTTGAGGTCATCAACATTACAAGAGTCAATAGCTCAGAAAACCAATTGGAAAGTCTTTGATAAACTTGACCGTATTTAGGGCCGGAGTGTGAGTATTTTTTTCGGATATTGGTGAACAAAAAAAAAGACAAACAATAAAACGTTGGAACTTTGCTAGAGAAAAACATAAATTTTCAACATAGGAGAAAATTATTTCCACTCGAGACACATCTGAAATCAAATATGACATCATCGAATCAAGAAAATGACAGATCAAGTACACTTATTTACCAAAAACCCAGAACAAGTTGATCTATACTTGATCACTTTTGTCATGTCTTATCAAAATTATTAAATATTGCCCTAATCAACAGATTAAAAATATGCTATAAGTAATGACTAGATTTTTACAATTCTCAGTAAAAAAAAACCTTTTATAGTTTCATTCTATTTGATTTAATCAATAAAAAAAAAACAATTAAATATCCTGATCTAATTAGATAATAAATACGTCATATCAAAGTTTTATTTCACCCTTTGAGTCTCGGCAACGTGTATATACGTTTCGCTATTTGACTTAGAATACCGGCGATATATAAATACGTATGGATGCTGTTATTGCCCAAACATATCATTAGCTTATTCTTTGATTATTTGGAAAAGCGTTTTATCTGTTAGATCACAGACTAGGGTCGTGAAATCATCCTAGAAATCTATAGTCGTTATAATCATTATACAATCTCTTTCATTGTTTTATATATAAGTAATATAAATCAAAAAGTACGAATCACACAGATCAACTACTACTGGAAGATCATTGACAAGGAATCTCCTCTTCGTCTAACTACTGGGCATTTTCCTTCGCTTGTCCTACAAACATCGCAATCAAACCCGGCTCAAAAAGATTCGTTCTTTATACATCTCATAGTTTTCGACATGATACAAGATATGTGTCTTCGCAGCAATGTACTTCATGTGTATTATTGATGTTTTTGAAGATTATCATACGAAAATGAACTACTAATGTTTTCTCGACACAGAAATAATGTTTTAGAAAAAAATAAAATAAAAATAAACACCATGTTTAAAGATTTCTTATGAAAATTTGAAATTTCGCAAAAAAAAGGCCGGCACTCAAAACGTTAAATCTTATATATATTTATAACGTGATTTCATCAAACAAGATTCTTGTTATTATTTGCTGATTGAAATAGTCTAATTGCTTATGTTAAAATGAATCATTTACTTTTTGTACAGTACAATTGTATATAATTCAAAATAAAGTTCGTATTAAAATATCTATCCATTGTTCATGATGGATTTCATTTTGTTGTTCAAGTAAACGAACTTGATTTATAACGAGATTTATTATTTTTGTTGATGCATTATCATCTCCTTCGACATGTTTACTTTGAATAGAATGATATAATCATTATTTTTCTTAGTTTCATAATATATGATTATTAAAAATATCTACAAATTTGACAAAGAAATTAAATATCCGAAACAAAATAATCCTTGCACGAAAAAAAAAATCAAAGACAAAAATAGAACTTTTTTTGTTAAATCTGAAAAAACTTAATCATATTTGGTTTAACCATTTTAAGAATTAACTGACTATAACCATTTTTTGTTATCGTACAAGCATTCACTACATAATCTGAATTGGAAAATTGTTTATATTCGATTGATGAAATATTTTGATCAACAGTTACTAAATAAATATTTTCTGTTGTTGCATCCATAATTATTAATTGTTGATCGGAAATAAATGAAAAAATAAGATTCCAATCTATTGTTGATGCATTCATAAGCATATTAGTTTGATGCAAACAATTCATATTATGATCAAATAAAGCTATTCGCCAACGGCATTCATCATCTTCCTGAAAGAAATTTACAAATAATTTTATTTTCTAAAGTGTATCACAATACTTCAACCCGCTATATTTTATTAATATGTGTTTTGAACTTAAACAATTTGAAACTCATCATTCAACATAAAACTCTCAGATTTTAAGACAATGTGTGTTTCAAAATCTTTTTTCGAAAATATAACTGAATTTTGAGCATTTTGACACTTAAAATCCTAGTTGTTGAGAAAGAAAAGCACTTTTTCTGTGATGCAAATGACTTTTTTTCCACTAAAAAAAGTTTTTCCTAGTAAAAGCCTGGTTTTCCGGCATTTATGAGAGAACATATCTAACCGTCGGATGCTGTTCGATTTCGTATTTAGACTACGAGTAGATCTTGACGAGAGTAAAAAAGGTTTAAAATAATTTGAGTCTATGGCCTACTATTAAAGAGACTTATGGCCGTCTTAATGAAATTTTTTCTAAGAGCAAGACATTTTCAAAAACTCCAAACAAAGAGCTCGAAACTGGAATTATTTCTATAGGCATATTCAATGGCAATTAAATAGTTCTAAAGATTTCAACGAAAATGAACATGTCTTCCTTGAGATATTCGATTTCGAAGTAGATTTGATCATTATGGTAAATCACTATGTTTTTAGATATTGAATATCTCGAGAAAGACATATTCATTTTCGTTGAAACTTCTAGAACTATCAAACGTGCCTATAAACATAATTTCAGGTAGAAACTTTTTGCTTCGAACTGTTTGAAAATGTCTTGCTCTTAGTAAAACTTTCATTAAAATAATCATAACTTTTCAGTAGTAGACCATGAGCCTGAATCCTTATAAAATTTTGTTAGTTTTACCGAGACCTATTCGTAGCTACAATGTGAGATTGAGCGAGGTTCGATGCTTGAATGTGATCCCTCGTTAGTTGCTAAGAAGGTCTATTTGAATACCAAAAATGATGTTCAAAAACTCTTGATTTCCTATGTAAATATCAGCAAAACAAAAATTGGTCACTAATAGAAGACCCATTTTCAAAAGGCAATGTGAATTTTAATAATAGAAGACAGTGGCTTTTTATTCAGGGATGAGGAAGAAATTGTACATAATTAATAAAAACTGCTGAATTAGAACTACGTTTTTTTTTTTTACGAAAAGATGTCAGAAGAACTTTAGACTTTTATAAATAGATAATTGATTTTTCAATTATTTCTATTCAAAATTTCATTCTTGTTTTTGTTTGAATAACTTACAACTAAAATAGCTAATTGATTTTGACTAGGATTTGTTCTAATACATCTCAAATGTTGATCATGTTCAGATTCTGGTATAATTTCATTTAATTTCCATTGTTTTATCAATTGAATAGATGATGACGTTGGTTCGAATATCCATTGTTCAATAATTGTAGTATATTTATACAAAATATACATTGAATTAAGTAATGTTGTACATGACCATGGAAGGGATGTAAAACGATAAAGACCACTAAATGATGATAAACGATTAAATGAAAATAATTTTTCATCAGTTAAGATAAAAAATAATTTTAAATATAAACTATAATGTATATCAAGAATTTTTCCATCGAGATTATTTTTCCATTCAATTAATTCTGGTATTAAAGTGTCATCAAAACTATTTGTTAAATTAAATAAAAGAATATGTTCACGATCATTTATAACAAGCAAATCTTCACTTGCTGCCATTTCATTATAGAATGATCGTTGTATAGGTAATTCATATTGTCGACAAGGTGAATCAAGATTTGATAAATGAAAAAGATTGCACGAGTGATTTTGTTCCATAGGAATTGAATCAATTATGTTATTGATTAATAACTATTAGTATAAAATAAATCAACGAGTGATTGTGAAGTTTTTTACATAAGAAGTTTGTTTACTTTTGACCTACTAGAAAGTAGTTCGAACGAGTTAAGACCAGAATTTTGTGCTTTATTCGAATATGGACTTAAAAATTTTGCCTCGGTTTTTATTCGAGAGTAATGAAATAATCTCCAAGAAAAGCTCAAAAATTTTAGTTTGGATGGAACTTGTCGATTGACATTTCTGGCAAATATATTTGTACATTTTGGACTGTGCGAAAATATTTCAGATAAACTAAAACTATAGGGTGCAACAGGATTTTGAATATGGATTCAGAAATATGTTGACTATTTTTGTTGAAAAGTGATGAGAGACATAGGAAATTATTGTTAATAGTGAGTCAACAGGTTTTTGTTTATTCTATAAGTTCATTTTCGAACATACTAAACATTTGCTGGAGTTGGATTATTTTCTAGAGCAAACACTTCTCTAAAAAATCTGATATGGAAATAACCTGTAGCTTTTATCCAAGAAAACTAAAACTGGTATGCTTTGTCGCAAGATAACAAAGCTTCAAATAGTGCAATTTATAAGATACCTTCTCATCTACAAGCTGATATTTAAATAAAGATTTCAATATTTATTTTTCAATCACAATAATGAAAATACAAAAATTTTCTGTCCAAACTAATTCTTTGGGCTTTTGAAAGATAGTTTCACTACTCTCGAAAAAAAAAATAAGACAAAACTTCTTAATTCATATCTGAAAAGAGCACTACACTCTAGTCTGATCTCATCAGAAATTCTTTCTGGCGATGGCGAATGAAAAAATGAGCAAACATCTTGTCTAAAAATCTTTTCGATCGTCAATTATAATGAAAATTTTACAAAATTAAGTTTTCTTTTGTTTTACCTTTTTATTTTCATCGAATTTTAAAAAAGATTCTTGAATTTTTTTAATTTGAATTAAACTAACACATTGATTTTGTGTGAAAATAATTCGAATTGGTAGAAATAATTGTTTTAATTCAATTATTATTTTATTTAAATCAATTAATTTTTCAAAGCTTAATTGTTGAATAAAAGGAATTTTCTTTTTATATTTTATTTCTATTTGTTCAATTAATAATTGTTTTATTTTATCTGGATTTTCTACTAATTCATTTAATTCCTCAATACGTTGATTTAATTCATTTATTAATTGATCACGTTCATTTATTAATAATATTCGATGTATTTCAACATGTATATAACATAAATAAAGATTACAATGTATACATACAACTGAATAATATTCTTTACAATGTTCACCTGTTATATTATCAGTATGTTGACAAAATTCATTTATAACTGATGATGTTGTTCTTGATTCGATTATAATAATATCATCATCATCATCATAATCTTTGTTACTATTGTCTTTTTTGAATCTTTTCGATAGATTCATCTGAAATACAAAAATTTCTTTGTTTTTTGTTTTTATTATTCAACATTAATATTTACAAACACAATAGAAGAGAAATGTTTTAATTTTTATAAAAAAAACTATTATCGATTATCTCGTTGCCAGATAATAACTAGTCCTTGTTGATCACATGATGCTAATAAACTTTCATCAGCATTAAATGAAACATCAAATACAGCCGAACAATGTCCTTGTAATTTATTGATTAGTGTACGAACTTCTCGATCAACATCATAAAGATAAACTAAGAAACAAAAAAAAAACAAATTTTTGTTTTTAATATTAATGTATTCTTTTAAAAAATGTCTTTCCTTACCACACATATCTTCACTTGCACTAACAACACAAAAACCTTGACGTTGAGAAACAATTGGACAAAATGAACTATGAATTGTTAATGATTTTTGACGTATTGAAAAACGTTTTCTAACAACTAATTTTCCATTTGCACTAACAACTCTATAAACAGTAGAAAATAAATATCATACAAAAAAAAAAAGAGATAATTACAAGAAAGATTAGTTTAGATAAGATTTTCTATTTTAGATAATATTTCAATGTTTTAGAAGATGACAAGCAAAATATGTTTTGAAATGTTCGAAGTTTATTAATGATCGATTCAATATATTTCTAATATTGAACTTTAGTAAATTCTATTTCATTTCGTATTTTTTTAAACAGAAATAAAGTTCGATTTTGAACATAACAAAATCAAATTAAATTACACATTTCAAAAATAAATCGTCATTATAAGAAGCCTTCAAGGAAATAGAAGAAGAAAATCTTTTAAACTTTTTAATATAGAGCATATTGACGTCATTTTGTGAAACATAATCCAAGAAGGAGTGTTGAAATATAGATTTAGAATCTTGGATCACTTATTCGCAAACGTGACAGACACAACCATAGAAATCTTATAGACCGTGACTAATGTTATTGATACCAATTACAGACCATATATCAATAGCGTTTCGTTCTAATATATGAACTACTTTCTTATTGAATTTTCTGAGAATAAAGTAACAAGATAGTAAAGAAATGTGTCTCAAGATTGATAGAATAAATTAATCTTTTGCTGATTAGCAATAGCAGCTACATCATCTTTCACATTTAAATCTCGTAGGAATTGCGCAAACAGCTTTTCTATTGTGTGCAAAAATCACTTTTATAGCACAAAATCTAAGATACCTTTGAAATGAGTTGGGGCGGGGCACCGGAGGTGTAAAAAATTTTTAAATAAGTTTGTAGTTTGGTAAGATTCTTATGCATATTCACAGTCACAATCGTCGGCGACTAAAATTTTTCAAACGAGATTTGATACTCTCCATCATAGATTTCTATAGAAAGAAGGAAAAAACAAATTTATTATATAACTAATTTTCTCTTGTCTTTTTTTTTTTTTATTATAAACTAATAAAACCTAGTATTCATCATCTATCACAATAAATAGATTTATAATATTGCATATTTTTCATCAAGATTTTTCAAATCAATATGATGATAAACAAATACAATAAAACTTGTAATATTATGAAAATCGAATTAATTAAAAAGAAAATGTTTGTGAAAACATCATAATAGTTTGATTAGTTTGTTTTTTTTCTAAAATAAAGTAAAATCATTAATTTGATAAAACTTACTTAAATACAAATAATAAATTAGGTATGACATTAGCCAAAACAAATCCTTCGCGTCCATCACGTGAAGAACGATATCGAAACGAAAGACTTGTCACTGAACCATTACTATTTGAAAAGACCCTAACATATACAAACAAAAAAAAAAAAAAAAAAGAATCAACATTAAAATTATTAATTTCATAAATATACCGTTTACAACTATGTAATTTCCCTGTTGTCATATCAAATAAAGCAGCAAATATATTTCCACGATCGTCACCTGTCCATAAAATTGAACCTGTTTCATCGAATACAACACACATTGAACGACCATAACATTTAATTACACAATTCTAATAATAAAATAAATTTATTTTATTTTATTTTATTCAAATTACAAAATATACTTTAAGTGCTTTGCCAGTTGATACATTAAATATTTGTAATATTCCACGATTATTTCCAACCGCAATAAAATTATTATTTGATGGATGAAAACAACAGCAGAGATTTTCAATAGCAGGTATACTTTCAATAACACGCATACATTTTCCATTGGATATTTGCCATATACGTATGCTTGAATCACTACTAGCTGTTACTAATAAATCATTTATTGATGACCATTGCATATCTATTAGAATTCAAAATATTTATAATCATTTGAATCGATATACAAAACCAGAAACGAACCATTTATTGCAGCTGTATGACCTTTTAATCGATAGATAATTGTTGCTGGTGTCGGAAGAACTTGACATATAGCAAGAATTCCATCACGACCACATGTTGCTAATAGACTTCGATCATTAGGTGCAAATTGAACTCTTGTAACTACAGACAAAAAAACAAAAACAATAATTTAAATGAATGAATTGAAATTTTTATGACAAGATTTTAATTATACCTGAACCTTTATGATGATCAAATATATGATGAACACCAGAGAATGCATAATTTTCTTCTAAAGATCGTCCCATTGCTAATGCTCTATGACATAATTAAAAAAAAAAACAGATAATTGTGCTTTTTTTTTTGGATGATTTATTTTCCGATATTGATCTCTTTTTATTCTAACCTGCTAGCTGTTGAAACGTTTGAAAGAGGTGATGTTGAAAATGGAGTTATATGTGTTTCTGGAATATCATCAATTAATATATTATTTGTTGTTATGGTTGTATTTCGTCTTGTCCAATCAGCAAATGAATCAGCACTCTTCAAAAAAAAAAAAAAAAAAAAAAAGAAGACAATTTCTATTCGAATAAAAACAAAATAATTATATTTACTTCAGATATTGAATTCATTCTACTAGCGTGACTACCATTTGATCTGAATTAAAATTTTCTCATTTATTAATTCAAATATTGTTATACGAATTCATTACCTGCTATCGAATAGATTTGCTCCATATCTTGATGCTAGTAGAAGTGATCGTAGTTTCAAGTAATGTTTTCGAATATTTACATCATTCTATATATATAATATTCATAAGAATTTGTATATATCATAGGAGGATATAAATTCAAAAACTAATGAAAATAAATCTTACTTACTTCAATTGGATGATTATCACGTAACAATTGACTTCGTCTTCGAATATATAGTGTTTCTAGATACGAAAAAAGAAATTATTATTCTTGATAAAACGATTACATACTAAATTGCAGATTATTTGGCGTACGATGAGCATTATAACGAGCATCAAGTGCAAGTAGCACTTGCCATGTAGTCGACATTCAATGGAATGTTGAAAACAAACGAAAGAATATCTTAAAATTTAATAAAGTCATGTTTAATTCATCAAAAAACAAAACATTAGAGTAAAAAAAAAATAAGAAAATATATATATATTAGTTTTCTTTTCTATTATCATTCAAATTTATTCTCAACAACAATTGGTGTACAAGTTTGTAAACCAGTAACAAGACACATTAATTCTCGATAAATTTGAAGAGGATGTTGATATTGATTTTGTTTTGGTAATGATTGTTTAAATTGTGTTATCATTTGTTCATGCCAATTTAATTCAATCCATCGACATTCATTTTCAAATTGTTTAAATCGTACTTCTGTAAATGCAATTAATTGACTATCATCACTATATTGAACAATATTATGATTTGAAAGACTAATTTTTGATTTATTTAACCATTCTATAATAAATAATAAACTCAATAATGAGAATTTTTCAAATAAAAAAAAATCTTACCTTCGATATTTGTATTGATATTTGAAGGACGATAATCATGCTTCTAAAATGAGAACAACATTAAAGAAAAAAAGAATGAACTAAGAAAACTTCTTTTTTTTTACAGCAACGAGGATATTAATTTTTGAAGTAAAGAAAAGATGATATTGATTAACAAGATATTTCAATGTATTTAAACGTTTCATTGCCCCTTCAAGATCATCAAAAGTTGCTAGAAAAATAGATGAAATATATCCAACTAAATAGTTTTATTTTCTTAACAACATACAATTTTCAAGCAGATAAAGTATAATAGTACGAAGTTTCACGGCTAACTGAAGTAATACTTCAATATTTGGTAAATGTATCTCGTCCGTAATTGTTGATGAATGAATCTAAAAAAAAGAAAAGATCTAAAATAAAAATATGTTCATTTATATGACATTACTTTTTCATTTAAACGATCAATAAATACAGGTGATGATGATGTTGATCTTTTATTTAATTCAGTCTCTAATCGTAATCGAAGATTTTTATTTTGTTTCCATAAACGACGTAATGGTTTAATGAGTGTTCGATTAAGTATAATTGGTTGTGGAATAGACAATGTGTCTATCTCACTTGTTTCATTCGGTATATTTTTAGGTTTCTCTGTAGTTATCGTAACAGATGTTTGTTCTGGAACTATAGTTTCATCATTCATATCATTATTGCTTTGATTATCGATTATGGAATTTTTTTCATTTTCCACTGGAAGAATTGATGATATTGGTATTATGTGTTGTGAAAGTTCAATTATCGATTGTGTAGTAGAAGATGATGATTGTCGTCGTTGTTGACTGATAGAACGAGGTGTTGTGCTTGTTTTTTTACTTGAATTAGTTTGAGTACTAGTACGAATTGATGAACTAGGTCGTCGCTTTTTCTCTGGTTGAGTTAAAAATGGTGCTTTCATATGAGCAGGTACAAAACGACGAATTGGTTGTTGTTGTTGTTGCTGCTGCTGCTGAGACAAGAACGAGTCTGGTGGTGGTGCAATAGTTGAACTTGTTGAAGATGGACGTACTGATGAAGGTGTCTTTGCACGATTATTTTGAACAGTATTTGATTGGGTTGATGTCGAAGCTATTGTTATTCCACTTGATGATTGTTTTGGCTTCTTTTCACCAATATTCTATTGAAGAGAGAAAATAGAAAAAAAAAAGAACAGTATAGAATTGAATATAGATATTTGCCTACCTTAACTTACTTCAATAGTACGTTTTGCTTTGTCAATAATACTAGCAGCTAGGCGTATTTCTTCACTTTCTAAATTAGAATAGATATTAAATGAATCTATGATAATTACATTGTCTTGTACCAATTGGTGGTTGAGAAGAAGGAAGTGGAGAAGTGTTTGATTTATTTATTGTTGATCGTTTAAATGAATCATAAATAAATTGTGGTAAACGTTTCCTAGAAATTTTATATTTAAATATGTATAAAAGGATAAATCAATTCAATATACTGTTTTTGAAGAATTTGTCGAAGATCATTGTTAACTAAATTTAGAATATAAATAGATTGATCGAGAACATGGAGTCGTTCAAGCATAGTAAGATAAGGATTATCAATCTTATTCATAATTAATTCTAAAAGTATTTATTTATATCATCAATATCAGCGTTCGATTACTTGTCAACTAATGGTATCGATGACGATTCGTGTTTGCATTGAACCAGTCCATGTTTTCCTCTTTGAAAGGTGGCGGTAGTAGTAGTTAATTGTTTCAATATTATAAATAGGAAAAAATAGTTTTCAATAGATCATACATAATTATCGTCGTTAAAAATACATTTGTCAGAATGATAATATATTCATGTAAACAAGAAGAGAAAAAAACAATCACGAGTGAACGTTTTCAATACTAGAATGATTATTTTCGATATGAATTCATACATATGAAATTTTACCACAATGAAGAGTTTTGACTTTAAGTTTCGTGTAAAGATAAACAAAATAGGCATTGGATAGTCCTGAAAGTTTCAACAAAAACAAGCATGTCTTTATGTAGATACTTAATATTGAAGAAAAATAGATTATTGTGTTCTCCTAATATAAACGCCTTTTTTTTTTCAATTCAATATTTCGAGAAAGATATTTTCAGTCTTGTTGAAACTTTCAGAGTTATTTAGTGACTATTAAATCTATCCAAAGGCAAAATTTCAAGTCGAAACTCTTCATTCTGCTTTTTTGATGATGTCTGACTCTATGAAAAATTCTAGTAAAACAATCATAACTTTTCGCGAGTACGCCACCGGCCCAAAATTCTCTAAGCTACCACTTAACTCAATATACGCTATCGCATGATGTATGAATGAATCAAAACTGAAGTGTATACCTCGAGTACTTCTCTCCTTAGTGTGAGATAAGACTGATGTGAACTTTATTGTCGGGGTATCATTTGTGTAAAATAGAAATCGAAATTAATAGCGTTTATTTGAAGAAGAAAAAAATGAGAAAATAGTATGACACAATTTTTCTCGAATGATAAGGTTCAATAAGTAGTGATAGAATAAAATGTTCAAGTAGATATTAGTCTTATCAGTTTAATCAATTGCCATCAATAATAAGCTCGTCTTGATGAATATCCGCCGGAATAGTATTCAGGAGAGTAACCAGAATAGTATCGTGGGTATCCATGAGAGTGATGTCGATGGCCACTATGAGCATAAGCTGGACCAGGATAGAAGGGAGCATCATAAGCATAATAGCCTGGATACGGTGGTCGACGAGCTGCTCGGTTACCCATTTGTATGTAGAAAACTTGATACTATGTTTGGGTTCAAATGAAAAACACTTATACGATGTAAATGTTTTTATATGTCAGCACACAAAGATAATGTATTACCAACGCATATTCTAGGTAAACATAAATTAGTTATAGTATATGTTTTGATTTGCATCAATGAATTTAAATATTCATAAATCAGATTATTAACAATAATAAAATAATTACTACGAATGTATTTTGACATCAATTACAGAATATGTCATTATTTCAATGACGTCCTTGACATAAATAGCCATGTTTTCTTAAATTAAAAATAGTTTTGAAAGGCAAAATAACTACGCTTTTATTATTAGCTGTGTAATCATATTATCTCTTTAGATCTTTTTGACTAATCTATGTAAAGACAATCCTTTTATCTGATTTATTCTAATACTTAGAACATGAAATCTATATACAAGTTAATAGACGTGTTCATTTTTCATTGTAGACGATTATTCAAAAGCATCACTATGTCAACTGGGTACTCGAAATCAAAGACACAATATATATATGTATTGAGTTCTATAAACAACTTGGCAAATGCACAATTAGGAACTTGGAAATGTAAAGCAAGTTTTTTCTTTGATATTCAATAAAGATCGAAGAACATATATTGCCTATCCAACGTATATATAATTAATTATATGGAATAAATTTTTGTCTCGATGATGATTAGAAGAAACTTCTACAGTAAAACTACTCAATGATCCATCTAATAACTGCTCATTAAAGAAAATTTGCCACTTAGTATACTTGATTATGTATTTATTTTTAACTGTCCATGTTATTCTTTCTTATGATTCGTTGTTTTATCTTTTACTATTATCAGTATCAATAGAATAAATCAATATGTATTTCTTTTGTACTTCTACTCTATTCATTTTTATTGATATAAAAGAAGTAATAGTCAATACATAAAGTGGTCATGAATATTATCCAATCAGAAGCTACTTTTATTTTATTTTGCATGTATCTCAAAAACTAGATGAGCTACAATTATCTGAGTATCGTCAGATTATAGTCTATATTCTCTAATCTACTAGTGAGTACATTTGATTTTTCATATTTTCTTAAGGACTAACAAAAATATAACTGTTTGAAGTAAATAAAAGATAATATTGATTAATATGATATTGCAATTTATTGAAATGTTATATTGTACCTTTAAGGTCATCAAAAATGTTTACAAAAAATATATGAAATATGTCCATGTCAATTGTGTTATTTTAAAATGAATGTACAATTTTCAAGAAGATAATGTACAATAAGACGAAGTTTGATGGATAAATGAAGTAATGGTTCAATATTTGGTATATTTGTTTTCGTATATAATTATTGGTAAATGAATCTAAAAAAGAAAATATTTTATAAATAAATTATGTTTACTGCAATAACATTGTTTTTTTTTCATGTAAACGATCAGTAAAAAACACATTATATAATGATGCTGACGTCGATTTTTTTATTAAATTCAAAGTTTAATCATAAATGATATAATGGTTTAATTAAATGTCATAGTTTACATTTGAATTCAGTTGAGTTTGGAATGGACGAACAAATTGGAAAAAAATCTTTTCGAAGCAAAAATTTTCTTATAACAAGAATAAAGCTTTATAAATAAATACAATAGAATTCATTTGAACAAGAGTTCGTAGAATAATATTACATTAAACATCACAAGTAAACATGTATTGAATAAATTTATATATATATCTATTTTTTATTCTACTAATAAAACAAAGTTACAGATTCCTATTGTGTAAATGTCAGTTTTCTGAGTGCTCTATTATATTATTAGTCAAAGTTTGTTTTTGTAATCAAGTCTTAGGATTATAGGAATTTAAGATAACTGGTAGATTTAAATTAATGCATTATATCAGTTTGTAAAGATTGATACAACTCATGTTTTACATTTATGAGACTGAGAAATATCAACTACATGATAAATATCTACATCGTTTTTTCTTTTATTGGCTTTTTATCTCATTTGTAGATGTTCGTTATTATGAAACATACAACAATTGAATATGAATGATGACGAATATTTTTTATTACATAAGTATTTTTGTCTTTTGCCCATGAACTTTCGTCACAGAATGGATGTTTTCGATGCTAAGTGCACTGGCAGATTTAGGAGAAGTGGAACAAAAGTATGAAGAGGTGATTGCTTCTCCTTCAAGAAATACTTTTTCGATTTTTTGTTCAGCACAAAAAAACAAAAAACGAGTTTGCACTATGTGAGATGATCTCTAAAAAGTAATTTTTTTTCCTCCAGTCATTTTCTCTCTTCCTTTCAAAATCCTAGATCTGTAGTTGTTAAAATGGAACTTTATTTTGATAAACTTAATGTAAAAAAACCGTACCAAGTGGAAATAAAACTCAAAGAATATTTTATTTCTTTCTGAAATGTGCGTGACAAATACTTATGATATGGCAGTAATTCAATCAATTGCAAATGATAATAATTTAAACGAAATTTTTTTTCGAATTCCTACTTATGTCAATTAAATAAAAACGAACCTGTTTACTAATTATTGCAATCTGGTTAATCATTCAATACTCTCAGAGTCCCATCATCAAAAACAAAAACAGCAACAACATATATTCAATGGAGGAAAAAACAAAGTATTTAATCATCATTTAGATTCTACCAATTATCGAATATTCCCACATTCTCATCATCGAAAACAAATACAACAAAACCATATACTCAATGCAGCAAAAGCAAAATATCTGCGCATCACTGCAATTAGACTCATCACCCCCTCGCCCTTTCGCCTATTCAATATCGCCATGTCTTCATCATTGAAAACAATTTCAGTGAAGATATACATTGAGATAATAAGAACATAAGCAGCTCATTAGTTTTTTTTGAATAAAATAACTATCTGCACATATCTCTGTCATCAAATAAACTAGGGAATGGGAAATAACTAACTGAAATTGTCAGTAAAACAGTTTATTTTGTTTCGTACGTTGACGATATGGTTTTTTTTCTACAAAATTTCAACTAGATTTTAAATTCCCTTTTCACATCAGTGCTGAATTAAATATAATTTGTTCTGAAACAAGCAATATATCTATCTTAATTGTTTTGTTAGAAATACTTCTAGGGTTCTCTGTACTGATCATAGCAGATAATTGTTCTGAAAATACAGTTTCATCATTTATATCATTATTACTTTGATTATCGATTCTTGAACTTTTCTTATATTGCATTGGAAGAATTGACGGTATTGGCTTTATTTGTTGAGAAAGTCTAACAACAATCGTGTCTATAGTTGAGGCTGATGATTGTTGTCGTTGTTGACTGGTACAGCGAAGTATTGTGATTGGTATTTTTTGAATAAGTTTGAGCACTAGATTAAATTGATGATCTTATATCGCCTTTTTTTTCTTCTAATTGAGTTAAAAATTATGCTGTCATAATAATAGATAGATCCGATGATGTAGATATATTTCAAAAATTGTTTTGAATAATCTTTCACCGTATCGATATCGGAACTATTTTTATTTGAATCGGTGATTATTTTAGGTTCTTTTCTACAACATTCTATTGCACAGAGGAAAAAGAACAAAACAATGGATAGTGCTCACTTTACCTTACAAAAGTTGTATATTTTCCTGAATCGGTAATATTAGTGTATTTAGCCATATTTCTTCACTTTCTAAATTAGACTAGATGTTAAATAAATCAATGATAGACAAATTGTCTTGTGCTAATTGGTGGCCGAGAAGAAAGAAATGTAAGAGAAGTTTTTGATTTATTTATTATTGGTCGCTTAAATGAATCATGAATCAATTGTAGTCAAAATTTTTCTGTTTAAAAGCGTGTAAAAATATGAGTCGATTCAATATACTGTTTGTGAAGAACTTGTCGAAGATCATTGTTAACTAATTTTAGTATATATGTAGATTATTCGAGAACATAAAGACTTTTAAGCCGAATAACATAAAGATTATCAATGGTATACATGATTAGTGATAGATTAACGTATTTATATCAGTCTCATTATTTCATTACTTCAACTAACGGCATCGATGATGATTCGTCTGTGGTTAGTGCTGGTACATGCTTTTGTCTTTGAATTATGTCGATAATTGTTGATCGTTTCGACAGTATGACTATAAAAAAACAGTTTTGAATATACTCTGCATATTCATCATCATTCAAAAGACATTTTTCAATATGTGATTGATTTCTATAAGTGATCACGAAAATAAATTACTTGACGTTTTCCATAACACAACGATAATTTTTCGATATGCATTGATAGTAATGAAATATTCGTATCTTTAGAACGAAACAAAAGCATCTGAGGTGTCAACTTCCGTTTTGATTCATTCGTCAACATTTGATGGAGTGCATTAAGATAAGAAAAAAGTAAAAGAGTTCGAGCACATGGCGTACTGACACGAACTTACGGTCGTTTGACTAAAACTTTTGTGAAGAGCCATACATTGAGAAAGAAAACCACAGTGTACAGTTTTAATCTGAAATTCCGTCTCTAGATAGAATAAATAATGATTAGATAATTCTGAAAGTTTCAACACGAAAGAACATGTATTTATGAAGATAAATAATCTTCAAGCAGGGTGAAACATAGTGTTACACATATATCATTTGTTTATAAGATGAAGTTCTGAAAGATAACCGTGTAACATTTTTCAATCACTTTCTCTTTCATTTACCTATAATGGATACTACTTTTCACAGTTGTCTCTCTTTCCCAATGATACTATTTTTATCTACTTTTCTACTGTTCGTTTTGCGTGTCACTCTGCTCTCTTTTTCTCACTAGTTCTCGACTTTCAGCCTATATGTCAAAGTAGTGTAGATGAATAATAAAATGTGAATTTTATTTCATATTCTTAATAAGAGATATCACCAATAATATTTTACATGTCTCATCGCCATCAACAATTTTTCGTGACGCGTAAGTTCTATTTTTTTTTTCAACGTTGTTTTTTCATTTTTA